TCATCGCATACGTAAACGCTTATTTTGCGGAGCAAGACGCCAACTACTATTTGAAGGGGTTAAAGAGGTTAGAGTATCGATGGGAAAAATGTATCGACTTAAAAGAAGATTATGTTGAAAAATAAAACTATATTTGATCGAAAAAATACTTGTTTCTATGTTAGGCTCAAAACTTTTCAGACTAATCCTCGTATATGTGATCAAATATAATGCATCTCGAATCATTTGAAAATTACCTTATACACATATTTCCAAAAAAGAGAGAAAAACTCGTTAAAATACATGTATAAAAAATGCGATAAAGTGATATGTATATGAGATATATGTAACTTTGTTGCAACTTTATTGTCTTTTTTGCACTATATTTGATTTGTAAAAATAATTTCTTACGAGAGAAAGATTGCCATATGAACGATACTTGCCCATAATATTTTATAGAGATTTTCAAATATATAAAACGTAGGAGGCAGCTCGACAAGAAAGACGAATCAATTTACAAGTTATCTGAATATATTAACGAAGATATTTCTGAATTCGAAGATAATTCTGAATATATTAAGAATTTGGAGAATCGTTTGATTGATTCGTAATTAATTATATTCGATTTTTATAATATCATGAGAGTTCTATTACGCATCTCTCGCATGATAATCACGGAAATGAAAAAGACGTAATAGGAAAATGATATAAAAAAAGTGCTTGCTGATTCTCTTGAGCTCAAGTAACATAATGTACTATGTACAATATGTACAATATGTACAATATGTAAGTACACATCATCTTGAGTTTTCTTCATTGACAGAAATTTATTAATTCGTAAAAACAGCACACGAAACGTACAAAAAAGCATAAAGAAGCACGACGATATATTCGCGTAGCCAAACATTTGGCGTAGCCAATGTTAAAGAAACTGCGTTACGAAATTTTCTCTCGATTTATATCAATCGAATATCTTCTATCGAATATCGTTCGCTGTTCTCACTGTGCTTACTGCGCTTATTACTCGCTCGCTGTTGATTCTGTCGTAAAACGCGCAGTAAATTGTAAATTGTAAATTGCAAATCGTAAATCGCAGATCGCAAATTTCGATTACACACGGATCGCACGTATTTCGTTTACGTATGCGTTGGCCAAGCTCGATGTGCATAAGCGTAGTTTCCGGCCGAGTCCCCCGATCGTCAACTACTATGGCGCTCGATACAGTCTACTTGCGCATTAGTATAGAGCAAGTGCACTAATTTACTTGTCATTTCACATTTAAAACCTAAACGAATAGTTGTATTCTCTCGCTATGGTGTCAAAATAATTGCCTATTGCATTTGTGAATATCGATTATGTTGAGAAAAAAATTATGTTACGCGACACAAGTACTCTCAAGGAAATATTGATACAATTGTCAGTCATCGTGCGCGTGTATGCATGCATGCGTGCGTGCATACATGTGAAAATCGTAGGTGTATAATTCAATATTGTTCTCTCTTCTTATCGCAACGTTTGTCATATTATCGTTTGATGGAAATATGATTTAACGACACAAATACGACACAAACGATGTATGCTTCAAGATTGATCTCTATCTCTCTTTTTCTATCTCTCTCTTATGATATCCTATCATAATAATATTCTAGAATGGTGAGATATCTCTAGAACGATGAGATAAATCAAGAGGACGAAAAGAAACTAGCAATTATACGTATGTTTCTCTTTTCATAAATCTGTGCAAAAATCTTTATGCCGTGTGTTAGCGAGGAAGAAAATACTTTTGGATAAGATAAAGATCATTTTTATATCTCATGTATCTTCGTGTCAATACGTTATCGTAATAATCACAGAATTGCAGCAAATTCCAATATTTTTATGTACTTAATATTCTACTTCTTATTACATTATACATTTATAACATTGCTTTTTGTAATATTAATATTACGATTGTGATTATACAGAATACGAGAGACTGGTCGTTGTACTTACTGGATTGTGCCTTTAGCGTCGGTGTCGTAGGTACATTGGTTGTCTTCGTTTGGAGAGGGATTTGGATCGTCATTGACATTTACCTATTTCCAGCAAATCCAGAGTATTCTGCCGTTGGCTCATTGGTAAATATACGAATTTTGCACGTCGATAATCAACAATATTCAAAGATTTTTTAAGATAGTTATTGATTTAATTGCCTTGTGTTATAATAGCATCCGCACACAACACGAACACGCGCACTTACATCGACCTCGCATGTGCTCGTTTCTTTTTCAAATAAAATGAAAATGTATTTGTATATTTTCTTTTACTTTTTTATTCATTTCTATCTATTCGCCTTATTCTATCATTTCGTTTTGTATGTATAACCTATTCCTCATTATATTATTAACCTTATTATATTATTAACGAGAATATAGTTCTCTATGAAAAACACAAAAAGCAAATTTATAAGAATGTTTAAATCATGATCGAATATAGGAGTGTAAAAAAAAAGAAGCAAGGAAAGAATAATAGTAGTAGTAGT